TTCTAATAGTGTACCACAAGCTAAATATGAGTCAACAGTGTGATGCTGTTGCAAAAAAAGCAAACATGATTCTGGGATGTATTAACAGGTGTGTGTTGTGAGCAAGACACGAGAAGTCATTCTTCCACTCTGCTCTGGTTAGGCCTCAGCTGGAGTATTGTGTCCAGTTCTGGGCACCGCATTTCAAGAAAGATGTGGAGAAATTGGAAAGTGTCCAGAGAAGAGCAACAAGAATGATTAAAGGGTCTTGAGAACATGACCTATGAAGGAAAGACTTGGGTTTGTTTAGTTTGGAAAAGAGAAGACTGAGAGGGGACATAATAGCAGTTTTCAGGTATCTAAAAGAGTGTCATAAGGAGGAGGGAGAAAACTTGTTCACCTTAGCCTCTAAGGATAGAACAAGCAGCAATGGGCTTAAACTGCAGCAAGGGAGGTCTAGGTTGGACATTAGGAAAAAGTTCCTAACTGTCAGGGTGGTTAAACACTGGAATAAATTGCTTAGGGAGGTTGTGGAATCTCCATCTCTGGAGATATTTAAGAGTAGGTTAGATAAATGTCTATCAGGGATGGTCTAGACCGTATTTGGTCCTGCCATGCGGTCAGGGGACTGGACTCGATGACCTCTCGAGGTCCCTTCCAGTCCTAGAATCTATGAATCTATGTACCAGTGGCCAGAGATAAACAGATGAATAACTGTATGCCTGCAATGAAATATCAGTTTTCCAATGGGAAAAACCAACAGGTGCCCATAAGAGAGCACAATACAAGGCAACTGAATTAGAGCCTTAATCACTATTTGGTTAGAAATCAATTTTATCAAATGTATTCGTAAGTATTTGCTCATTTTCAACCCTTTGTTTGTGAACTGTCCAGTGGTTGCTGGTCACCTAAATCACATAGTATTCTCTCTGTGCCCTCAGTGGGTGACCAGCACAGAGAGAGAGAGAATCTTAAACTACCTACGCTCTTCTTTCAATCCAAAGTTGTGGCCTCAGTTGTGTAACTGTTATTTGTTTGGAATGGCTTCCCACTTATATAGAAATCAAATTTTCTGCAGCCCAGTCCCCTCTCGCCCACAATATACTCACAGCCTCGGTGCTGAGATGTGCAAAGGATGGCACATTAAAGATCCCTTGAATAAGCTCTGGTGGGGCGCTGACTCCAAGCCACAAGAACATATTTAGCCCGTTTGCCAAGAAGAATACCCCTCCTTCAGACAGACGTTCCTCTGAGCAACGGACAGCAGTGGGAAAAGCATCACTCTTTACATCCATAGTGTGCTGCATGACAAGGGGAAAAAAGAGTAGTAAATTCAGTTACACTAAAGAAAAAAAGAATGTCATAAGGAAGCTTCAAGGTCTATTGCTAATGGGGAGTTACACTCTGAAAAAGTGTAAAAAGGGCATTTTAGGGTCATATTACATCTCAATTACTCCTTTCCAAATTTGCTCAATTCGTAAGTTTTTGAAGTCAGGCTGTGTTTTTTCTAGCTCACACATCACCTCCCCTAAGATTCTGCATGCCAAAGGGTTTGCTAAATTATACCTGTACTACATTGATGCGCATTACTGTAACTGACTGTCTAATCAGACACAATTGGGTTGCACAGTTCGGATTGGAATTTAGTTAACAATCCTGTGAATGATTTGCAAGCAAGAAGAGTACCCAGCTCACTCTCTCATAGTTGTACTGCCTCTGCAGGGCTGACAGTGGTAAAAACTTATTGTCTTCACTGACGCAAGCAGGCACTACTTTGAATGCACATAGTAAGCAAATCTTGCTGGGTAAGAAGTCACCTTTTCTAATGCAGCCACTTTTCAGAGTAGAGCTGCCCGTTACATAAAAATAATCTAGTCAATTTCAGCTTAGGCGCAGGGGTAGGTAGTACAGCTTCTATTCTTATGGTTTTGAAATGCATCTTTAAAGAGAGATTCTCTCCTCTTGCTGTTTCAGGGACACAATAGGGGGACACTGACTGAGTTTCTATTAAGATGACTACACAAAGTGCTTTCAGATTCAAAATGAGAGAAAACTTCTTATAAATTGTTACTATAATTATTTTCTATTAAGCCACTGAGCTACCCTTACTAATAATTAATTCTTTCTGAAAGACAACTACCTGTCCTGTGCATAAGTGGAATGATAGTCATCTTTCACTGCCTCTAATTCAGGATTTTTTTAAAATTCCAATAAAGCTGTTAATCAACCATGACATTTAGAAGAAATAAATAGCATGAAGGAAACAAGCTATTGAGCGTAGTAAGAGCATCTACTCTATCTAAACATTTGGGCCAAAGTGATTGTATCCGTGCATATACAGATAGCTATAAACTCCAGTCTCACTTCCTCAGTGCTATGTAGTTATTTCTTCTGGTCAGTAACTTTCTCAAGACATTTTCATCTGACTGACTGAAATTTCAATCTGCTTGATCAGCTGAAGACTAGACAAAGGCAAGAAAGTACCTCTACAACATGGGATCACTCTATATATAAAGAGCCCTCTGCACGTGTGCACATATGCATGGTCAGACAATTTAATTCAGCATGTCTGAGCCACTTATCACTTCTACTGAAAAACCTGTAAAAATAGTGTTTCCCCACTAGAAAAGACTCACTTCAAATGTATACTTACAATTGGCAGAAGCTGTGGATAGAAAAACAACTGGGTGTCAGCAACATCCATAGCCATGACCAACTGCCTATGATAAGCTCTTTCATCTGTTGGAATTTCTGGTCTGCCAACTAGCACGCAACTTTTTAATAAACAATTAATATAAACTGGTAGCACCTTCATCGCATCAGGAAGGATAAGCTGAAAGACAAATCTTGTTATTTAATATACTCAATCTACTATTGGATTTATAAGCTTCTTCTACATATACTATCTTTTACCATTTATTTTTTAAGATGTCATTTATGAAATATAATTTTTGTGCTATTCTAGCTGACTCAGGACTATTTGAAGCAGCTGCTTGCAAAGAAGTATTTGGGATCGGTAAATAAGCACTAACAAAATGCAGAAGAAGTTACTTCAGCTTCTCCCCCACCACACACACACACACCATAATTTTGTAAGTGAAGGATGTAGAACAGTATTACATTAAGCAAACTGGCCAGAAGGTGAGTGGGTAATATGAGTAGGATGTTATTCTAATGTGCACTTGGTCACAGAATGCAGTATTCGGTATACTTGTATGAAAATGTGATGCTCAGAATAAATCATCAGCCTGTTGTAAATCAGTTTGTAACCACACTGGCATTTTAAATGTTTTAAACACTCTTAATGTATAAATGGGCACTGAGTTACCTAACCTGAATAAATGCTTTAAATAAACCAACAATTATAATCTTATTACTGAGTGTAATCAGCAGTCAGTTAAATTGCTAGGTTCCGCCTCAAGGAAGGAAACAAAGATATGTTAATTATGTAATCCTGAGATGAAGTATAATATAATACCCAGTTTTAGATGGGAAAACTGAGGCACAGACCTATTAAGTGACTTGCCTAAGGTCACCCAGGTCTCGAATCTCCAGTTCTGTGCCATCTCCACTGGACCACGCTGTAGAAGCATAAATATCCTGAAGCTACTATTATACAGAAAAAGCATTTAAAGCAAACAAACTGCCTCACATGTCCTGCCTAATCACTATTGATTAGGTAGTGATTAGTGATCATCACACCCTGATTAGGCCTCAACTGGAGTATTGTGTCCAGTTCAGGGTGCCACATTTCAGGAAAGATGTGGACAAATTGGAGAAAGTCCAGAAAAGAGCAACAAAAATGATTAAAGGTATATAAAACATGACCTATGAGGGAAGATTGAAAAAAAAAATGGGTTTGTTTAGTCTGAAAAAGAGGACTGAGAGGGGACATAACAGTTTTCAAGTACATAAAAGGTTGTTACGAGGAGGAGGGAGAAGAATTGTTCTTAACCTCTGAGGATAGGACAAGAAGCAATGTGCTTAAATTGCAGCAAGGGCAGTTTAGGTTGGACATTAGGAAAAACTTCCTGTCAGATTTCAGAGAAGCAGCCGTGTTAGTCTGTATCCGCAAAAAGAACAGGAGTACTTGTGGCACCTTAGAGACCAACAAATTTATTAGAGCATAAGCTTTCGTGGGCTACAGCCCACTTCTTCGGATGCATATAGAGTGGAACATATATTGAGGAGATATATATACACACATACAGAGGGCATGAACAGGTGGGAGTAGTCTTACCAACTCTGAGAGGCCAATTAAGTAAGAGGAAAAAAAACTTTTGAAGTGATAATCAAGATAGCCCAGTACAGACAGTTTGATAAGAAGTGTGAGAATACTTACAAGGGGAGATAGATTCAATGTTTGTAATGGCTCAAAGAACAGGAGTACTTGTGGCACCTTAGAGACTAACAAATTTATTAGAGCATAAGCTTTCGTGGGGCACAACCCACCTCTTTCGGTGCCTATAAGAAAAAAGGGGCGTTGCC